TTTGCCTTATAATAGATAAATATAAAAATTTATTTATGTACAAGAATTATATATATATTAACACAAAACGCAAAAGACTGGTGATAAATGAACATTGGTACACACAATCAAAAATATATCCTACCAATGTAAGACACAATAATAAGGTTTCTAACTAATTACATCAATATCACAATTTCTAAATGATCTGATTAAAAATTAAATTTATTAATAACTAATAATTTCGAGTATCTCAAAGGTTATATTCTCACAAGCCGTGGCCATAGGATTGCAAGAAGCTATCCCTTGATAAACTATACTCTAATTATTAATATTTAATAAATTATGAAATATGAAAAAAAAAATTTATCATATGACACCACACAATTTCGAAACAGTAAAACAGGATCTCTCTACATATATCTAACTACCCAATATTTTTGTGATACACTAAGGTAATTCTATGATTCCACACAACAGAGAAATTAGGTAATGCAAAATCAAATAAACAATCTCACCGCACCCGGCATTCAGACTAGGAAACTCTCCCGTGGATTTAGCTGGCAGTGGAATGCCTTCAGAATGATGACCAGGGGAAATTGAGATAGAGTTCAATAGTGTGGGAGAATGTAGGAAGTTGTAAGGACAGAGGTTTAGAAATTTAGTAAAGTTTTAGGAAGTTTGAAAGGATGGAAGAGGGGTTATAGAGAGGTCTCTTCAGATGTCTTCAGAATCAGGTCTTTCTTCAGTCAGGTTTTCTTTTGATGAGGTCTTTTCTTTTGATGAGTTTTTTCTTTTGATGAGTTTTTTTTCTTTAAAGGTGCATGGGCTTTTTATATCCACTAATCCATTGTTCTAAGATACCTTCCCACTAGGCTTCTTGATTGGCTAGTTGAGAAATGTGTGTACATAAGCTATTTCTCACCTGCCCGCCAGGTGGCGGTCATGTATCATAGAACAATTTGAGTATTTGAGATGACTCATACCTCGGGTGGAATCTTAAGGTAATTTCAGGGATCAAATATACGTCTTTTTCCAGATATAAGTGATCATACCTATAATATTCTAAATAGGGACCATGGAATATAGGGGTATATTCAGTTATTCCTTCTTGAAATACCATCCTGTTTGTTTCCTGATAAGACATGTAACTAATGCTAGTTTTATAATACATCTTACTTTCCATCATCTCAATACTCAAGTTAGTGATATATAGTTCCCATTGCTGAATATTTGGTGGTGTGTAAAACCTATCCTTTATAACATCTCATTTATAATATGTTTTTGTAGTATATCTTTGTAGTTATATACAGTCAATTTTTAGACTTAAATGTCCTGAATTTCAGTTCTTTGTTTTAGAACCAACATTTTCTATGTGTAGGGAAAGACTCTCTGTTTGCCTGGCTCTTGTATTGGAGTCACGGTAAACACCTCTTAATACTTTCACCCTTGGTGGACAATAGTATATTGTGATAGTTTCAGAGGTCTGTTGGTTTATCACACTCTGCAAGGTTTGAGTAAGCTCTCAGACAATCAGTTTGGTTCCTCTATTGTCCTGTCCAGACCTTGTATATGTTTACCTGCTATTGAAGTCTGAATAATGGTGTTTGACCACCTGTAGAACTTAAAAATAGTATATTGTCTCTGGGAGGAAAAAAAAATCCCTTCACCCACCGTCTACACCTCTCCAGCCAGATGGTCATTCGACTTTCCAACCAAGACAAATTAACCCCTTAACATCCGGCTATATTGAGCTGCTTGTCATATAATATTATGTCTTGATAAAGTCATATTTTTGAGACATAATTCAAAAGGTCCACAACATAAGACACAAGATGGAGACTAAAACCTACAGGATGGGCCGTACTTGTAGTGTTAGAGAAAGGAATAAAGGAGAAGAACATTTCATCACACAAATCTGAAGGCAGACTTTTATCAATCAACTTACAGAGAATATCAGGAGTTTAGGTTAATATTTAATCCTCATTTGTTTACTACTATAAAAGGTTTTATTATATTTTGCATTTTGATCATGTAAAATATAAAATGATGTCACATTTTCCACTCTCTGCCAGCAGGTGGCTCTCTCAAATTAATCTGCCTGAGAAGGATGATAACTACTGCATTAAAAAAGGTTAGTTCTGCCATGGAGTCTAAACTTCCCTTCTCTTCATCCACAACCAATATCTAGCTCCTCTCTCACCATGATGTCCTCCATGGAAGCTTCTGCTGAAGGTCAGGGGAGATCAGACTACATTGCTAGAGGGACCCAACCAGCAGTAACCCCCCCCCCCTTTTCTCTCACCATGATGTCCTCCATGAAAGCTTCTGTTGAAGGTCCGGGGAGATCAGACTACACTGCTAGAGGGACCCAACCAGCAGTTACCCCCCCCCTCCTCTCTCACTATGATGTCCTCCATGGAAGATTCTGCTGAAGGTCAGGGGAGATCAGACTACACTGCTAGAGGGACCCAACCAGCAGTGACCCCCCTCCTTCTCTCTCACCATGATGTCCTCCATGGAAGCTTCTGCTGAAGGTCAGGGGGATCTGACTACACTGCTAGAGAGACCCAACCAGCAGTGACAACCCCCCCCCCCCTCCTCCTTCTCTCTCCTAGCAGAGAAAGCCAGACACAACTTTGAAGTCTTTAGTGAGCTCTGATCTCCTTATAAAGTGTTTCTTCCATGATACAGATCAGAGGAGCGCTCAGCCACGTGTTTTCTGAGGTGTATATCAAGGTGTGCTTCTTCCCAGTGTGAGATCTCTGATGTACAGCAACATATCATCCATAGAGAAGACACTTCCCACACTCGGGACACTAATTCTCCCTGATTGTGGATGCACACATGTGCGGTGAAGCTCTGTTTTCACACAGTAGTTGTTCAGCGAATCAGGGCAGGTTTAGATCAGGGTCATGTCAAGATTAGATCAGGATCACGTCAGGTTTAGATCAGGATCAGGTCAGGCTTACATCAGGATCAGAAGAGAAAACCAATCAGGATCAGGTTAGGTTTGGATCTGTTTTGGGCCAGGTTTACATCTGGATCGGGTCAGGTTTAGATAAGGATCACGTCAGGTTTAGATCAGGATCACGTCAGGTTTAGATCTGCCTTACGTCAGGTTTAGATCTGGATCACCTCAAGATCAGAAGACAAAACCAATCAGGATCAGGTCAGGTTTGGATCTGGATTGGGTTTACATTTGGAGCAGAAGAGAAAACCAATCAGGATTAGGTCAGGTTTGGATCTGGATCAGGTCAGGTTTACATCAGGATCAGGTCAGGCTTACATCTGGATCAGAAGAGAAAACCAATCAGGTCTACATCTGGATCAGGTCAGGTTTTCATCTGTATCAGGTCAGGTTTACATCAAGATCAGAAGAGAAAACCAATCAGGATCAGGTCAGGTTTGGATCTGGATCAGGTCAGGTTTACATCAGGATCAGAAGAGAAAACCAACCTGAAATCACCTTCACAAACTCATGACATGTGCGATTAGGAAGCGGTTCCCGTAGAAGTCAATGAGCCTGTAATCTGCACCTGAACCGGACCGCACTCTCAGAATTCGGACAGGACTAATTTTCAATCTGCGCTGCCAATGCTCTGGACGTATGAGTTGTGTCTAAAAAGTTTGGTGAATAGTCCAATATCTCAAAGACAACATGGGACAGGTTCGTGCTCATGCACATGGCTATCCAGAGACACATCAAGAAGCGCCACCTAGCGCGGAGAACACGTGACTGTCAGGGTAAAGCCGCTGAGGGCAGTCGAACGTGAAAGGTAGGGTCACAGTGCAACGAGTGAACAAGTTCTCCTACATATTGGGGAAAACGGAGACGCATGAAATGTTGGTGCAACTCTACGAGACTGAAGATGTGAGCAGAAAATGTGTCCAAACCAGGGTCCAACCTTTCTGCGAACCATCGTCACATGGGATGAGACCTGGTGCTACCAGTTCGATCCGGAATCCAAGTGGCAATCGATGGAATGGTGTTCACCATCTTCTCCACGACCCAAAAAGAGTGGCCTGCAAAAGTCCAAGGTCAAGACCATGTTGATGGCCTTCTTCAAAAACCGATGGCATCATCCTTAAGTCATTTTTTCCTGCGGGTCAAAATGGGAACGCCGCATTCTACGAGGAAGTTTTGAAACGGTCGCCACACCGCGTTCAGCCAGAGTTGCCCAGGACTGGACAGAGGATGTTGCTGGGCTGATAACGCGCCTGCGCACTCTGCGATCCATGTGCGCCAATTCTTGGCTCAGCCCAGCGTACCTGTTCATCATCCACCGTACTCCCGTGATCTGGCGCCTGCGGACTTTTTTCTGTTTCCCCGCCTGCAGAACGTCATGAAAGACGCAAAACATGGAACGTGGAGGCAATCCAAGAATGCACGACAGCGGTTCTGAGATCGGTTCCTTCACCGGCAGTTTCCAGGAGCTTTACGAACGTTGTGTCGCGCAGGATGCCGATTATTTTGAAGGCCAAGAAAGGTCATTTGTTTGTATCTTCTGTTTTGTTTGTTTTCTGAGACCATTCGTCGAACTTTTTGGACACACCTCGCATGTGAACAGGCACCATCGGACAAAAAAAAAAAAAAGGAAATTTCACATCATGCGGTTCAAACCGCGTATATGTGAACCGGCTCTGAGGGTTGTGGGGGTTCTTTCGATGTTTAGTAAGACAAGACGTCTGTGAAAAACATTTCCCGCACTCAGCTCAGGAGTGCGGCTTCTTCCCTGTGGGACCTTTGATGTCTGACAAGTGCTGATTGCCATAGATAACATTTCCCGCACTCAACTCAGGAGTACGGCTTCTTCCCTCTGTGAGACCTTTGATGTCTGACAAGTGCTGATTTCCATAGATAACATTTCCCGCACTCAGAGCAGGAGTACGGCTTCTTCCCTCCGTGAGAACTTTGATGTCTGACAAGCGCTGATTGCCGTAGATAACATTTCCCGCACTCAGAGCAGGGAAACAGCTGTTTCTGTGTGTGACATAGTTGATGTTTGGTAACATCAGACTTCAATGAAAAACTTTTTCCGCACTCAGGACAGCAATACGGCTTCTCGCCTGTGTGAGACCTATGATGCACATTAAGACTGTACTTTTGTGAAAAACATTTCCCGCACTCAGAACAGGAATACGGCTTCTCCCCCGTGTGAGATCTCTGATGGGTAAGAAGCTCTGATTTGTATGCAAAACATTTCCCGCACTCAGAACAGGAATACAGCTCCTCCCCCATGTGAGATCTTTGATGTCCAATAAGTTCTGCATTCAGTCTATAACGATTTCCGCACATGGGGCAAACATACGGCCTCTCGCCCGTGTGTAGTCTCTGATGAGTAGAAAGCTTGTCCTTATCTGAGAAACATTTTCCACATTCAAGGCAGGAATACGGCTTAACCCCCGTGTGAGTTCTTTTATGTACAATTAGCCTTGATTTATGTAAAAAACATTTCCCGCACACAGGGCAGGAATACGGCTTCTCTCCTGTGTGAGATTTTTGATGTAAAACAAGTACTGATTTCTGTTGATAACATTTCCCGCATTCAGGGCAGGAGTACGGTTTTTCCCCTGTGTGGGATCTATAATGTATGTTTAGTCTGTATTTACCATCGAAACATTTCCCGCACTCAGGGCAGGAATACAGCTTCTCACCCGTGTGTAATCTCTGATGTCTGACAAGTTGTGATTTATATATAAAATATTTCCCGCACTCAGAACAGGAATAATGTTCCCCCACGCTGTGGGATCCCTGATGAATATAAAGACCTAAATCAGAGCTAAACTTTTCCCCACATTCAGGACATGAAAACATCTTCTCCCCCTGAACCCAGGCCCCATCCTCCACAGTACAAGGTTGCTCAGAGTCAGAGGGATCCCATGGTCTCTCCACACTGGGAAGTCCACCATCCATAGTGGAGCTCATTGTCTTTTCTCTGTCACAATCTCCTGGGATGTCCTCATCTTCTATTTTACAACCTGGAGATAAAGTGAGACGATCCTTTGAGGGTTTCTCCATGGCGGGTCCTGGAAAAATAGAAAAACATCATCAATAGATAGGAGAGGGTTAGTTCACTTCCATCAAGATTCCATCTGGATCAGGGAGATAGGGGGGAGCAGATGTTCTCTGTGGATGTCCCAACTAGCTGGGACTCTTCCCCTCTTCAAAGAACCTTTGGTCCTCCCAGATCACTTCTCCATTTACACCGCCTTGTCAGAGAATCAGGAACCAATGGGGGCTGTGGGGGGCGGTAACAGAGCAGAGATAAGAGAAGAATATATTCTGGTCACCTGTGCTGATCTCTGTAGGAGTGTCCTCCTCTATGAATGTCCTCCTCATTCCAGCCTCCTCCGTATATTGCTGATCATCCCTCACATACGTCTCTTCTACTTCACCCTCAACTTTCATGTTCATCAGATCTTCACCCTAAACCAACAGAATGGCAGAACATAGCATCTGTAACATAGAAGGATTTATGATGTGAGATCACATAGAACATCTCATCTTGTAGAGTCCACACATCGTCTCCACATGTCAGAGTGTTCCATCACTTTATGTTCCCGACCCTCAACTCCACCTACCGGATGATGGTGAGGGATGGTGTGACCTTCCCTGTGTGGAACCCTGGGAATACTGAGGACGGGGACACCTCTCGGGGGGGGGGGGGGGTTCTTGTTACTGGATCCATCTACCTGATGATGGTGAGGGATGGTGTGACCTTCCTGTGTGCAATCCCAGGAATACAGAGGACGGGGGCATCTCTCTCTGGGGGGGGGGGGGGGGGGTTCTCATTACTGGATCCATCTACCTGATGATGGTGAGGGATGGTGTGACCTTCCTGTGTGGAATCCCAGGAATACAGAGGACAGGGACATCTCTCTGGTGGGTTCCCATTACTGGATCCATCTACCTGATGATGGTGAGGGATGGTGTGACCATCCTGTGTGGAATCTCCGGAATACAGAGGACGGGGACATCTCTCTGGTGGGTTCCCATGACTGGATCCATCTACCTGATGATAGTGAGGGATAGTGTGACCTTTCTGTATGGAATCTCCGGAATACAGAGGACAGGGACATCTCTCTGGTGGGTTCCTTGTATTAGGTAAGGTGGCTCCATCATAATGTCTCCATAAATATCCTTCTGTCCTACAGAAAATTCCTTTTTCACACCTTTCTCCTCTTTATAGCAACAATATTATAATCCCTGAGGTTTCCACTCTGGATATATATTAAGACATTGTTGGGGAATTCAGAACCCAACAGTCAGGGCTACAGACCTGGTGGCCATGGTCTTGTTGCCCTCAACTTCTCCAACCTTGTTGGGAGTCCATAGAGAAGAATATGTGGATGTGTGAAAGGTATAGAATGTTATGTGGGGACTAGTAAAGGAGACTCTGGGTTATCTAGCTCGAAGGGAGCCGGTTATGGCTGAATAATGAGACTTTATTCTGGAAATGTAGAGGTTTTGGAGGTCCTGAGGGATACATAAGTGGGTTTGGCTGGTATTAATGAGGGGCGTGTCATATGTTAATTAGCTGCTTTGTTTAAATGATAATATATTGTACATAAATGCATATATCCTAAAATGTACATTATTTTTCTTCTACTTGTAGAATACCATGTATATGGGTTCAATAGACTCGGATTAGATGTTCAAACGCATAGTGGTCTGCATTCTTCTACAACATTCATTGTAGCACATATACCCGGGTGGAAGCCATAACTACCAAACATCATCATTCACCATCTACCTGATAAAGCCTTGCGTAGTTGTGATCCTCCTGGGAGGAATCCCAGGAATACAGAGGACGGGGACATCTCTCTAGTGGGTTCCCATGACTGGATCCATCTACCTGATGATGGTGAGGGATGGTGTGACCTTCCTGTGTGGAATCTCGGGAATACAGAGGACGGGGACATCTCTCTGGTGGGTTCCTGCAGCTGGATGACTCCACCATGTTGGTCTGGAACAGGTATTTGAGAAACTCTGACTCCTCCATCACCCCATCCTCATCCTCCTCTTTTACCTCAACTGTAGAATCTCTCAGGTTTCCACTCTGAATATATAATAAAAATGGCATCAACGGTAACAATGCAGATAATGTACATATCCTAATGATACTATCAGTGATTGTTCCTCATCTACCTGATGATGGGGAGGGATGGCGTGACCTTCCTGTGTGGAATCCCAGGAATACAGAGGGTGGGGACATCTCTCTGGTGGGTTCCTGCCGTTAGATGGCTCCACCATGTTCTTGTGTCCTTCAGAACGCTCCTCCATCACTCCATACTCCTCATTCTCCTCTTTATACTCTTCTTTCAAAACAATGTTATTATTTCCGAGGATTCCACTCTGAATAAATAAGGAGAAAGTCATTGTAATAAACAGGGTTGTGTATAACTTACAGCTTTCAGTGATTGTTCCTCACCTACCTGATGATGGTTAGGGATGGTGTGATTTTCCTGTGTGGAATCCTGGGAATACAGAGGACATCTCTCTGGTGGGTTCCCATGACTGGATCCATCTACCTGATGATGGTGGGGGATGGGGAGACCTTCCTGTGTGGAATCCCGGGAATACAGAGGACGGGGACATCTCTCTGGTGGGTTCCTGGTATTATGTGGCACCATCATGAAATCCTTATCGAGATCCTCATTTCCTTCAAAAAACTCCTCCATCACCCTACGCCGCTCAATCACCTTTTTAAAGTCTTCCTTAACATCAATATTATAATCTCCGAGGTTTCCATTCTGAACACATAAAAGGACATTTAATGTAACGAACATGCTTTATATAAAACATAACTACCAAGAATTGTCAACCATCTACCTGATGATGGTGAGGGATGGTGTGACCTTCCTGTGTGGAATCCCAGGAATACAGAGGATGGGGACATCTCTCTGGTAGGTTCGCATGACTGGATCCACCTACCGGATGATGGTGAGGGATGGTGTGACCTTCCTGTGTTGAATCCCGGGAATACAGAGGATGGAGACATCTCTCAGGTGGGTTCCCATGACTGGATCCATCTGTAGGAAACACACACACTGACTGAATCCATTGTTTCTATGTGTTTATCAGATGATGGGGGATCTAGGTGGATCCTCCGTACTGCTCTCTCCTTTCCAATAAAGTCTCCTCTTACCCGGTGATGTGAGGGGTGGCTGATTGTCCATCATGACATCCTTGTAGAGGTCCTTGTGTCCTTTCTGGTGGTCCTCTATCATGACGTCCTTGTAGAGGTCCTTGTTTTAGATCTGCAAACAAAAAATGATAAATAGGATAATTCTTTCATTGTTTAACGGTTACCTTTGATGGATACCACGGAATATAATAATGTGATAAAATAAAGATGTACATATTCAAATCCAACCCTATATAAAACCCCGCCCACAACAAAAGTTGTATCATCCACCAGATCAGAGAATTTAAGTCCTGGAAACCGGGGTCATATTGCAGTTACAACCCTAATGAGAACCACATCCCTCGTTACAGGAGACTGAGGTGAGAAGGTGATTGGTGGGAAAGGTGACATCTCCACAATGAGGAGAATGTTCTGGCCCTGTAAGTGGGGGAATGTTCTGCCCCTGAAGGGGTTAATCTGGGTTTTCCACACTATATATGTGTGTATCATCATCTGCTGGAGATAAAAGACGTCACAATGACTATGGAGGAAGAGGACGGACGTGACTATGGAGGAAGAGGACAGATGCGACGTTGGAGGAACAGGACGGACGTGACGGTGGAGGAAGAGGACGGACGTGACGGTGGAGGAAGAGGACGGACGTGACGGTGGAGGAAGAGGACGGACGTGACGGTGGAGGAAGAGGACAGACATGACGGGGGGGGGGGGGGGGGTTACTGGGTGTAAATATAAAATAAGATTTTATTACCTCCTCTGCTGCCACTTTCACCAATGTCTCCTCTCTACTTCCTCCCGCCACTCACCCAGAAAGTCATATTTATACCTGACATCACTTCCTGCCTTCCATAGATACTTCCTGTCTGGGTAGAAGTGAGATCACCCCTTGTGGAGCTCAGCGAGACTGCAGCCCTCCCACCCTTGATAGGACTGAAAATTAAATTCTTACAAGGCTGGAGTGGAGGTGACCCCTCTTTGAGGACATACAGTCCATACACACCCAGCACAAGGCCGGGGTCACACTACCAGATGGTTTTCAGGGCTGCAGTTCCTCTGAGCTCCACAAGAGGTGATCTCACTTCTACCCAGACAGGAAGTTTCTATGGAAGACAGGAAGTGATGTCAGGTACAGGCAGGAAGTGATGTCAGGTATAAGTAGGAAGTTCTGGGTGAGAGGTAAGTTGGGAGGAAGTAGAGAGGAGACATTGCTGGAAGTGGCAGCAGAGGAGGTAATAAGATCTTATTTTCTATTTACACCCAGTAACCACCTGTCATTTCCGTCCTCTTCCTCCAACCATCGCGCCCGTCCTCTTCCCCCACCGTCACATCCGTCCTCTTCCCCCACCGCCACGCCCGTCCTCTTCCCCCACCGCCACGCCCATCCTCTTCCCCCACCGCCACGCCCGTCCTCTTCCCCCACCGTCTCGCCCGTCCTCTTCCCCCACCGTCTCGCCCGTCCTCTTCCCCCACCGTCTCGCCCGTCCTCTTCCCCCACCGTCTCGCCCCTCCTCTTCCCCCACCGTCACGCCCCTCCTCTTCCCCCACCGTCACGCCCCTCCTCTTCCCCCACCGTCACGTCCCTCCTCTTCCTCCACAGTCACGCCCCTCCTCTTCCTCCACAGTCACGTCCGTCCTCTTCCTCCACAGTCACGTCCGTCCTCTTCCTCCA